GCCCCAACCGTCCCGGGCCCTGTTGAGCCTCTGCTCCTGCCACCTCCGCCGCCACCGTCGCTGGCGCCCGCCGGGCCCGCTGTCGCTGCCCCGCTCCCGGCCTCCGGCACCTCGGCCCTCTTCACCTTCTCGCCCCTGACGGTGAGCGCGGCTGGGCCCAAGCATAAGGGCCACAAGGAGCGGCACAAGCACCATCACCACCGCGGCTCCGATGGTGACCCCAGCGCTTGCGTTCCGGGCGATCTCAAGCACAAGGACAAGCAGGAAAACGGCGAGAGGAGCGCAGGGGTGCCTCTGATTAAGGCCCCCAAGAGAGGTGAGAGCAGGCGAACCGCCGGGGCTCAGGCTCTAGGTCTCAGTGCCCATATCCCGCCCCTTTAGGACTGAAAGACGCCGCTCTACTCCCCTGAGCCCACTGAAGTGGACTCCGGATTGCAGACGGTTGCCACAGTTTGACCTACTTGAGGCTTCTCTCTGAGGCCAAGCTGTCAGTTTCCATCCCTGTTTGCAGTCCCCCGGAGCCTTTGCAACGTTTATTTTCAAATTCGGCAGGGTTTCCGCGCCGCGCGGTGCTTGGCATCGGATTAGTAGGTGGGGTACTAAAAAACCAGCCTTGCTGAAGTAAAGGCTTGCCACTGGAAGTCCCTTCTTGTTTTCTTTCTTGGAAATCTTTAGTTTTTCTTATCCCGGGCATCAAAATGTTCTTAGGTTTGATTCTGGGCTCTGAGTTTGTATTCTCAAAGAGGTTACACAACTCACTGGTTGCCTTAGCTTCGGCGACGTTAAAAATTCATTTATGGTGTTTCTCTTTCAGCTAGACAGGTAGAAATAGCTAAAAAAATTTTGATATTAGCCTTTTTAGTTCTTAGTATGGTATAGAAGGTTTTTTTTTTTTAATCGTCCTTTGAATCCTAGGAAGTAGACCAACCATTTCTCTGGAGAGAAGGAAGCGTGCAGTAGGATGTAGATGCAGGTTCTAGTTATTTTTCATTCTGCCAGAGCACTGTTTGAGAATCTCTGCACTTCCAGCAGTCCTTAAAGGTATTTCACATAGAAAACATAGGACCAAGTGTGGTTTTGAGAGAAATTAGGTTGGCCAAAATTGGTGTCTTCTATTTCCAGATACTTGTAGCATCTATTTATATTCTTTGTGGAAGAAATGAAGTGTACTTTGGGTTATGCCACCATATTTATACTTTGTATATGATGTTTATAACTTGTAATTTTCGTAATCTTAGTAACATGCTAACACACTAATAAGTATTCGAATACTGGGCCACTTCAGTTATTACATGTTAGTGAACTAGTCTTTAAACCTAAAGTTTTGAGTGTTTTGCATTTTCCCCATATATTTGGTCTTAGTGCTAACCAGCTTTTGTGTGTGTGTGTGTGTGTGTGTGTGTGTGTGTGTGTGTGGTTTAGGTGTGTTGTTATTTAATAAATGTTATTTGCAGAGAAGTGCATCTTTTTTTCTTCGGTGGTATCCAGATATCTTCAGAAGTAGAACTGTGGCAAGCTGACTGGTGTGCCAGTTTCCACTATGCAACTATTTTGCGTATTGGAGTAGCTTTTTTTTTTTTTTTTTTACCCTTATTCCCAACTCTCCCTGGTGTGTGTCCATACACACAGCTTTTGAATAATCATTTCTTTTAAATTTGTGTTGCAGGAGAGAATACCAGGGTCCAAAATAGTGAAGAGACCTCATCTACATGATTTCATTACCAACGATGAAATTTAAATTAAAAAAAAAAAAATCTTTGGCGTAGAACCCAGGCTCCTAAATGCTAGTTCAAGCTTCATCTCCGGTCTCCGCAGCTTTGCTTTCTCTTGCTTCCCTTTCTTCACTCCTTTGCTTGCCTTTTCCTTGTGCCTTGACATTCTCATTCTGGTGGCAGTCAGTAAGCTGACTAGAAATTATCAGAGATCTTTCAGTCTCCCTTTATGGGGGACGGTGGTGCTGACATTTGTAGTAATTCACGGTGTGCTGCTCTGAAGACTACAGGCCCCATGTTCTTTTTAAATCAAACGAAACAAGTCTAATCTTGATGAATAGAATTTTCTCAGATGATGTAAATGTTTTATATCTGTGTTGTCCAATATGGTAGCCATATGTGG